TGCACGGTTACCGCCTGGACCATTATTAACGGACTTGTTGTTGACGCGCTTTGTCGTCGCCGAGATCGCGGACATTCTATCGCGGCACGAGAAATTCTAAATGCTGCAAGATCGATTACGAAAAATATTCGAAACGCGATTTTCAACGTTTATTTGAGGTAGTCGGTTATCGACTGAAACACATTTTCGTACAGAACTGATTTCGAAATATATTATTTAGATTTTCGCTGTTATATCTCGCTTTCGTAATCTGTTAATATTTTGGCATTCCAACCGATTGCAATTTTTGTAAAATATTATTTTTTGACGTTAAACGAGTTTAAGTAACATGTTGAAGAAAATTGATGTCATTTGGTTTGATCTTAAAAAAGTTACTCTGTTCGAAAGAGTGTCCGAATATCAATGAGAGTCACTTTATAAATACACTTATATTCGTGTATTATGAACGTAATATTTATAATGTATCAATATGTATTTATTATAATATATACATGAATCGTCTATATATATATATATATATATATACATTCTTTACGCAATTTTAGGGTGTATTGTTCGATATAATTAGAGACACATTTTGAACATCATTGAAATAACAAGTATTTATCTTGCGTATCTCAAACTGCATATGCAAAAGTAATACCTAGACTACGAATCTTTATATAAAATAAGAATTGTCAGCACTAACTGGAAGATAGAGAAGCATAACAGTCATTTATTTCGCGTTTCGATGAGTTGCACATGATAACTCAATATTATTTATTAAAATGTAAAAAATGGAGATTGGTCTTGGATCTAAAATAATGTGATAAATCATCGTGACATCGACCGATTAATTATTGTGAATCTTTGTGAATCATATTCGGTAACAAATAAGATTGCTGTTAATATTGCACGTGTAGAATACACTTATTGCATTCCGACATATTTCGTTTTTATCCTTTTATATACGTTCACGTACTACGTTACGTATATTTTCATATTTCCACAACGTCTGTAGTGTAATAATGCTTATTAAATGACTTGTATGTTGTCAAAAAGAATTTGTTAATTCAGGGTTTTGAAAAATACCTTATTACCAGATTACGTAAAGCACAAGAACACGAAAACGAGAACAGGCATTAAGTGATTTATTTTGATTGCAAGGAATCCGGTTGGCAGGAAAGTTAAGTTTCTCCCTTCATCTGTTTTTATGCGAAACAACGAAAATGCGAAATCGACGATAAATATCCAACGCAAAGAACTTTAATATTACCAACGCGATATTGCGACGTCTCGTAACAGCGGCTAATCTGGCCTAATACTCGGGGGCACGTTTTAAATATCGCGCTAATTAGTTTCAGAATATTGACCGTCGTTAACTGGGTCAATAAATCGACGAAGATCTAAGGCCTGGTACGTACTCCGTCGAATCTTCGTTCTTTCGAACGGCTCGAGATGTAGCCGAGTTTAAAGCAGTCTCGATGAGAGTCGAATCCCCATCGAGAAAAGCCGGACTCTCTTATTATCCTCGTTAAGCGTTGAATATCGAAGAGAGGAAGTTCTGCAAGGCTGGTTCGTGCCGGGAATCGGCGAAACTGGGAAGACCGACATGCGTCGATAATCCGGGTAAGTACGTCTCGGAAGGACGCGAAAGAAACCGGGAATAAGGATCCGAACCGGGTAAGAGCTTTCCAAATGGTTGGCCTGTGTCTGTTGGAGCCTGAAGTGTGCTCGTTGGGAGGATTCATCCGGTAAAGGCTTCCTCGTCCTCCTCTCGGGTGGCGACGAGATCGCGCGAAGACGCGGATTCCTTCGTTAACGAGCGAATTCACCTCTCCTACGGGCACGGGCAACTTTGATCCGACGGGGCAAACGAATCAAAGAAACGTAAATGAGGAATAAAGTGCGCGGAGGACGCTGTCGCGACGCTTCAAGGGGCCACGGTATATCCCTTTCCATTGCCTTTGCCCGTTTTTCTACGCTGCTCAAACATATGCTCGTCGCGCGCCACAGCACGGACAAATGACAAAATTGTGGAGAAAAATCAAAATTCGGTCGCCGATTGTATGCATATCGGTATTTGTTCAGGAAAAATGAAGTTTAACAGAACTGCAAAAAATACTTTTTTAAATTAACAAATTTAATACAAAATGAATAATAAATATAACTATTAAATATATTTATAACACTAAGAGTGATAAACTTAAAGAAATTATAAGAGTAATGAAAATATTAACAAGCTTTACGTATTGTTATTTCATCTGAAATATGCTGATACCAGTGATCTTTCTTGTACATTTTTTCCCTAAATAAACGTTAATTTCATTCAAATCATTTGTAATCAATATAGGAAATGAGTTAGAAATTTTTACTTGCAAAATAGGTCGTAAATGAAAAGTAAAGGTTTTTACGGTTATTGACCGTTATCACTCCAAGAATTTTACGGAGTGATTTATAGCCAACTCCAGACAAATTAGTAATGATAAAATAAAATAAAATATTTTACTTGAAAACGACGGCAGATATTTCCACAAAATACGATGCTTACAGTGAAGTAAACGCAATAATCATAACATTACGAAATTCTGGAAGTGAAACTGCCGGTTGAAGTAGAACGCTGGCTAAAGCTTGGCAGTATTACTGCCGTTTGGAGTGATAAGGGTTAAAAGGTCTGTAAAGTTAAGTACGACAATTAGTTGCAAAAGAGCTATAAAATTCTGAAACTATAACAAGTAATATATATCCGGATATATAATCATCTCAGGATGTCTCTTCGCTGGTTTCGAGATGTGTTAATTTGAAGTTTTTTTGTGCAAGCAATAATGAATAGAACGTTCGATATTGATATAAGAAAAAAATTTACTTTCAATAAATATAAAAACAGTCAAGATATCTTTGTGGCTAGTCTCTTTCGTTATACAGAAGTTTGATAAATTCGAAATAAATATTAATCACACAATCGACCTAATAATATCCTTAGATTCTTATTGCTTTTCCGATAGGTATCAAACAAATATTGAAAACAAGTGAAGAATACATAAAAATTAATAATATATTATTACTGTATAATAGCATTATGCATCCAAATTATTGATACATTATTATTATTCATGATAATTCTCATTCTAATACGCATTTTTTGGAAAGAGATTATATCTCATATCGACTTTTTTTCTGACGAAAGAAAAATGTTCCCGACAAAAGTTGGTCAGCATTCATTTTTCAACGAACTAGAATATAAAAACTTGCAAAAAGATTCTTTTCATAAAAAATGCTCGTCACTCGGATTTTTTCAATGTTAATATATATTTTTGGCTTAATAACATTCCAGCTGGTGCCGAAACGAATTCAACGACCTGCTACACTATAAACCTTAAACCTTGAAACAACTCTAAAATAGTTTTCGGTCGCAGAAGGCGAATTCCCATACCACCGTGCGTGGATTTGCATCACGAGAGGAAATCCCTTTGCGAAAGGTCGCGTATCCTTGTGGAACTTACCGGCCTGCCGGCGAGATTCTCCCAAGTGAAATGAAGCTTGTGAACTTGCGCCGGCACTGGGACGACAAATTTAATTGCGTACTCGTTGATGACGCCCTCTCGCACGTAAAACAATTCCGCTTTCAGGCCTGGAATGAAAGACGTGTGATTCAGGTTTTCATTCTGACGAATTTCTTACCGCTACAGTGAAACCTTAGTTATACAGGACAAGTCGAGAGACATGACTGTTCGGATAATGGAATGGTCACTTGCAAGGAGAGTCATTGATCAGGATAATACTTTTCCGCACGGGGCTTGAACAAATTTTAACAACTTCTAACAATTAATTTTTCTGTTCTAAGAAAACAGTTACAAATCCGCTGAAACTTTTATTCCATATATTTATGCATTTCTTGCTTATTGTTATTTTGTAACAGATTGCAGATGTACTTATCAAAATAATAAAAAAAAAATATATATATTTATGCATAAACAGAATATTTTTACTTCTTCGGAAATGGGAAAAAATTCCAGTTATATATATAGACAGTCTATTCATTATCTATTAAGATATTTTATATTTATTCTTTATAATTTGCATAAATACTGGATTAACAGAAATAAAATATAGCGAATGTAATAATGTTGCATTNACGCTGGCTAAAGCTTGGCAGTATTACTGCCGTTTGGAGTGATAAGGGTTAAAAGGTCTGTAAAGTTAAGTACGACAATTAGTTGCAAAAGAGCTATAAAATTCTGAAACTATAACAAGTAATATATATCCGGATATATAATCATCTCAGGATGTCTCTTCGCTGGTTTCGAGATGTGTTAATTTGAAGTTTTTTTGTGCAAGCAATAATGAATAGAACGTTCGATATTGATATAAGAAAAAAATTTACTTTCAATAAATATAAAAACAGTCAAGATATCTTTGTGGCTAGTCTCTTTCGTTATACAGAAGTTTGATAAATTCGAAATAAATATTAATCACACAATCGACCTAATAATATCCTTAGATTCTTATTGCTTTTCCGATAGGTATCAAACAAATATTGAAAACAAGTGAAGAATACATAAAAATTAATAATATATTATTACTGTATAATAGCATTATGCATCCAAATTATTGATACATTATTATTATTCATGATAATTCTCATTCTAATACGCATTTTTTGGAAAGAGATTATATCTCATATCGACTTTTTTTCTGACGAAAGAAAAATGTTCCCGACAAAAGTTGGTCAGCATTCATTTTTCAACGAACTAGAATATAAAAACTTGCAAAAAGATTCTTTTCATAAAAAATGCTCGTCACTCGGATTTTTTCAATGTTAATATATATTTTTGGCTTAATAACATTCCAGCTGGTGCCGAAACGAATTCAACGACCTGCTACACTATAAACCTTAAACCTTGAAACAACTCTAAAATAGTTTTCGGTCGCAGAAGGCGAATTCCCATACCACCGTGCGTGGATTTGCATCACGAGAGGAAATCCCTTTGCGAAAGGTCGCGTATCCTTGTGGAACTTACCGGCCTGCCGGCGAGATTCTCCCAAGTGAAATGAAGCTTGTGAACTTGCGCCGGCACTGGGACGACAAATTTAATTGCGTACTCGTTGATGACGCCCTCTCGCACGTAAAACAATTCCGCTTTCAGGCCTGGAATGAAAGACGTGTGATTCAGGTTTTCATTCTGACGAATTTCTTACCGCTACAGTGAAACCTTAGTTATACAGGACAAGTCGAGAGACATGACTGTTCGGATAATGGAATGGTCACTTGCAAGGAGAGTCATTGATCAGGATAATACTTTTCCGCACGGGGCTTGAACAAATTTTAACAACTTCTAACAATTAATTTTTCTGTTCTAAGAAAACAGTTACAAATCCGCTGAAACTTTTATTCCATATATTTATGCATTTCTTGCTTATTGTTATTTTGTAACAGATTGCAGATGTACTTATCAAAATAATAAAAAAAAAATATATATATTTATGCATAAACAGAATATTTTTACTTCTTCGGAAATGGGAAAAAATTCCAGTTATATATATAGACAGTCTATTCATTATCTATTAAGATATTTTATATTTATTCTTTATAATTTGCATAAATACTGGATTAACAGAAATAAAATATAGCGAATGTAATAATGTTGCATTTTTTTACAAAAATGACTGAAATGATGAAATAAAAATCTGTGAAGACGTTAGACGAATTCAGCCTGCGATTGCCGGATGTTTGTGCGTTAGGACAATAATTTTACGAAAATCAACGGTGTACGCGCGTCGCAATTAATACAGCGAAGCGCAGAAAATCAAATCACACGTTTGAGAACTTGCGCAAACATCCGCAGTCTACAGGTTTGTATTTGATCAATAGACAATGGGTTTGACTCGTTCATGGCAAACGACAGCGAGTGAATCAGACAGTAGCTATTTCGACTCATTGAAATTGTTGGGCACATTAGAATCGCAATTGAAGCAACAAAAATATGTACTTTGTATTAAGATCCAGCGTCTATTGATCAAAGCGCAGAAATAGTATTTCTAATTCATGCACATTATAAATTTATTTTCATTAGTAAAGCATTCAATAGGAAATATGTAAATTTATATTATAAAATTAAATTAAATTAAATTATAAAATTTATATTATAATATATGCATGCAATTCTAAATTTCATCAACAATAATTTTATATCGCTTCTGTTATATTAAATAACGATTGTTCACAATAGAAACAATATGTTCATCTGTAACAACAAATAATTCGAAATGTAATTTATTTTTCAGAAGAATCATTATTACTAGTAAAATATAGAATATAGCGAAGACATTGAAAGATTCTCAAAATATTATTACGTTATTTGCAATTTACTACATCTATCGACAAGAGAAATACATTTTTATTTGACTCCCGTTCTATACAATTCATGCGGACAATTTTTATTTTCTATAAAGATCCACAGCCTAGTTCGTACAAATGGCTTTATGTCAATCGTTCTATTTTCTTTCTATATAATAAATTGATTCGATGTTAATCAAAGACGAAAGGAATGACGTCATAACGAAGAGAGGGTGGTCGATTTCGTGTTCAGCGATGACTCACGATGAATTCATGGTACAATTTGTCCTAGCGTATATTTTTGCCTTGAATCTCCTAAAATTATCCTCGATATCGACCAGGACAAACATCATTGAAATATACATAAACGAAAAAGAAACTCCTAAGAAAGCTAAACAAGAACTCGTAGAAAACGCTTGAAGCTATATAAATGTAAAGCCAAAGGAAAACTCGGCGTATTTATTCATGAAGTTCATTGGAACAGTGGACCAAACAGCAACCTCTTCATTTCCATAGGAATCAACTCTCCATTCACAGAAAATGAAAGAAAAATTCACCTTTGTGCACAAGCGCTTAAAAGTTCCTTCCACTTGCCTTGCTGTTTCGAAAGAAGAAAAACAGAGTCGTCAAAGAAGATTATTATTTCCTCACAGAGCTCAATAAAGTAATATCAGAAGACCCGCAAAGATGGCGATACACTATAGCCGAAAATACCCAAGACGTAGCAAAAATTCGTTCTTTATCGCTACAAAAGTTGTTCTTTTACTATAATGTTTCTACTTATTTATTATAACGTCCTTATTTATAACAAGAAAGATGAATAATTAGCGTTAAAATTAGTGTTTTCTATTTCTTTTTTTCTTTACTTAAAATATGGTATTTATCCAATTGAATAATAGCTATATGGCTTTATACTTTCGAAAAAATGTAAACAAATTTTCTTCTTAAATATCATACTATATATCGTAGCTGCTTTGAATTCTTTGCGCTATAAAAACGATTACCTATGGAACATACTAAATATCATTGTTATTAAAACACCAAAAATGTAATTCTTCTGTTCTAAAAATCTAGGAAGTAAAGCAAGTGAAAACATACAGGAAACAAAAATTGTCTCCTTTCTTTGGGAAATTATGAAGGACGTGTCAGACGTGTGTTATTTCAAAGTTATATCACAATATAGCCGTAACAATATTTTAAAACAATGTTTCCGCAGAAAGCGAATTTTCTCCACGTTTTGGATATTCAATCCTGCTCTGCGATGTTTAGCGACTGAGAAAATGGATCACCAATTTCCAACGAGGACTAATTAGACCAGTGTGTGTTCAGTGTCGCGGGCATCGACGCAGCACAGGAAAGTGTACGTTTGATCAGATAACGGAGAAAAAAAAATGGAAAGTAGAGAGGTAGGTTAGAGTACCGCTGACATAGAAAGCAGTGGACGTAGATCGTCTCTAATCAGGAACAGATAGCGAGCGGGAAAAATGGATCTCTCGAGCAACGTTCGGATAGCTATCGGGAGACACGCGAGGCACCGTGTTCACAATCCCGAGAGTAATTCGTAGCTCCGCTACGAATACAAATCGTGTGAACGAAAACGGAGCAACAAAGACCCTGTTCGATACCGAGCCGGGCGAGGATAAGCAAGCGAGGTAGAAACACTGTCTTCAAAAGAAGGTCGGTTTCGCTTGGTCGATTCGCCGAGCTTGTTATTTTCTTGCACGTGCCTCGGCGACGCCTGAATCAGCATAACGATCGCCGGAGTCTGCGACGGAAACTGGCGAACTGGATTTTCCCATTATTCTGTTAAAAAGGTGGCCCGTTCGCTGCCATTTTGCCCGGAATCGTTTACACGAAACCTCCCACTTCCACCGGGGGTTTTAAACCGAACCCTTTGCACCCGAGCGATGTCTCCGAGGCGCCACTAAAAATTGCTGTACCATGTTTCCAAATAATTTCAACGGTAGCAAATTTGTTCACACATGAAAACCTGTCAAAAGCGCAACCACTGTACGTGCTAATACGTTCAATTTCATATTTATAAGTTGTAATAAATCTTGTAAAATGGAAATACTGCAGGTCAGAGAACATGTTCTGGGTTTTGAATTGAACTTCGACGAAATCTTGGTCTACTTTGGCCGAAGTTATGGCGAGCGAGAGTGGAGAGGATCACCAATATGTATTACTAGAATACGACTGTGCGCATCGGTACTTAAAGGGTTAATCTTTTGCGGACGAGGTCGTTGTGAAATGTTAGAGGAGTCGGGAATGAACTCGGTTCGAAATATTAATTGTTCAATGTGGAAATGAAGAGTCGATTTAAAGGAGACAGGACATCCAATTAATTAGAGTGCTAGATTAATCCTTTAACATTTTCCTATACAACTAGTTTTCGTTTAGAGATTTTTAATCATTCTTGACAAAATATCGCAAAAATCGTTCCGGATCAGCATCTTTATGTACAGTTTTACATCGATTAATATTTCATGAAAATGAATTTATATAACATATTTTAAATAACTAAACCTCAAATATTTTGAACATTTTGGCTCTGGACACAAAGATCAACGCTGAACTATTAAACATTAAAAACTAGTCAACACTAGTGTTTAACTAGGTTTCGAAATTCATTTTTATTATGATATATTTGAACGAAGCGAAATATTATTAGGATTTTTAGAACTATAGCTAGCCCAACAAACGCTGTTATATTATGGATAAAAAATACTGAATCCTATTTTAAATATTAATTAATAATATTAATTTGACTTCAATATCTCCCCCACCACGACAACTGTAGGAATATTGTTTATATCATCTAACGCCCCCCTATACACCAAACGACTTTTGTAGAAATATATTTTTGATAACTTTAATCCCTCGCGAAATATTGCACAGAGTCCACTTATATGAATCACTCTGCATAAGAGCCTGTACGAACCTAAACGACTTAACATGCAGCTAATATTTCATCTTCACCCTCAAATTTCAAAGTGGACTGCAACAGCTTCCCTTTCCATTGTGAAATGTTCACAATGAACGAGGCGTAATAGCAACAGGTGATTCCGAATTTTGTTTCATACCTTACTACCACCGTGACGAATATGGTACTAGACCCTATTCGGCACGGCAAATTAAGCTGACAAAATCCTACGGGGACTGTTTTGGTACTTGAGACGAGCGAGCGGCTTGCGGCAATTTTGCCGCCGCGTTTGCGAATACTTCGCAAACATTTCGCGTAATAAGCAATTAATTTCAAGCTCAGTTACGGACGCGAGAAGACAAAATATGTCTGAGAAAAATATATATTATAAAATAATATAAAAAATATATATATTATAAAGAGAAAAATATCGGGTTCATCCCTTTACCGCTGCAAGATTTCTGAAAGAAGCATCTGTCTCTCCATTCATTAATTTAAGAGAAGATGAGGCAATTTATTGATTATTTTTACACGAGTGTAAAATCTTTCGATAAATTATGTACAAAGACTCCGGGAAGCTTTTTGTACGCACCGATACAAATTAGGGACCCTGTAATAAGAAACTGGCAGTAAGGGTTAAGCTAGATTGTCACATATTATCGACCCGTATTAGAGGGTCTCTATACAAATGGTACCAGATTACCGTTCGCGGTAAAGCAGGATCCGCTTCGTTTTAAAAAACACGCCGCTTCCTTGCCGTTATAATTTGCGTTGTGTGTGAATTACGTCGCAAGATGCACTAAAACGCGGCGTCAGATTGCCGCAAACCGCTCGTCTTGAATTTTTCTATGCGCGCCCTTGTTTTGATAAACGCGAAGCTGCCGCCGAA